TTTAGCACAAGACGGAGAGGAGCCCAAGGAGCTCCGGAAAGTTCCAAACTCTTGGTGCCAGCAACAGGACCTCCTCCATACCAAGTGCGACCTAGGCACCGGCCATGTGAAGAAAGACCAACCTCGGCAACTCCATGGAGTCTCAAGGAGGTCCTCCCACTGTAGCGGAGATCTTTAAGAAGAGGCCAAAAGCACTAGGAAATCCTGGAGTCCCGTAGGCTGTGCAGTCCAAGCCACATCACCGGATAGGGGAACCTTGGTTGCACTTCGTCTTTTGAGGTGCTGGCAGGATGATGTAGATGTTCATTTCGGATGCCCGGCCCAGCATGGTTTGTCATCGGGGGATGGCCAAAAAGAACGGTGCAGAGACTGACAGAGCACAGCAACTTCAATGCATACTGAATACGGCTCTGCCTCTCGCAGCTGCACTGAACAATCGAACCCATATCCATCATTCTTCAACAATGGCCTCGGCCGACAACTTAAGCAAGAACATCTCAAGGAATGTTCAAGAAATAACTTGTCTGCGCCACCGAGAAGGATGAATCAAGTACTTGTTGTAGGTAATCAGCGTGGCCGAAACTGCGATGAGAGCCACGCTCCAGAAGACCTCACCAAACGGCACCAGGTCTAGGATCCGACATCGTGGGATTCGCAGGCTGGAACATCACAGTACTTTCTCGGTACATTAAAATATGTTCTTGTATGTTATAATACATCATAGTTCGTTTTGGTATATTGTAGGTTACACCTTTTTTGGTGTCCTAAAGTTCGCGGGATTGCTCTGATGTATTTCAGAACCTGCTTTCCTGCCTCTTCTTGGCCTTTGCTGCATTGCTACAACCCGAAGCCGCCACAACAAAACGTAATGCTTTGCACAGCAAAGTTCCTCAAGCTCAAAGTTCTGACCACCACATGTCAATGCCCGCGCCTGCAAACCTATCGGCAAACCCAAAAACTACTGCTTCGAACGTAGATGTGCTGCCTTCGGCAGCAGCTTGTGGGAATCATCGTGCAAGAGAGGTTTTTCCTCCAAAGACTCCGGGGCCTCCTCCGGGCATCACTGGATTCCGTACCCCCGTAGCTTCGACCACGTCTGTACTTTGCTTGGGCAGCAAGCTTTGGCCCACCGCCCGCAAGCTTGCAAACTCTCCTCGTCGGTCTTTGCCGTCCTTGCTGTTGCCATTGCTTCCCGGACCAATTTTCCTCGGCTTAGCAGGGGCGAAGCGTGCCACGAGTGCGAAGGTTTCGAGAGCTGCGACGATCAACTTTTCAGGATGCAAGGCAGCAATTCCCAAGTCCCAAGCACTGTCACTTCAACGACTGCCCAAGCAGATGTTGAACCCTTAACTCGCAATCCGGAGACCTGAAACCGTGCCATGTCCGTTTCCAACATGCACGAGAAGATTGAAGTTTACGCATCCCCAGAATCTGACCTGGTGTCAACTTGCCAACCGGTCTTTAAGATCAACGCTCCCAAACATACCAAGAACCATTTAACATGACTTTTCCTTCGTGGACACCACCTCAAACCTCACATCTGGACATGTACCGAAGCCAAGCATCGATACCAAACACTGCATGTAATTAATTGGTGAAGCGTGAAGCCCACGAGCCAGAACGGCTGTTCCGATCACGAAATACAAACCAGTTTGGACATTGAAAATATAAAGCATTTGCACGCCCCATATGCCCCAAGTGTGGTTAAACTTCTCTTAGACAAGCAACACAATGCATGCAAAGCACATTTTCCCACACTGTTCGTCCAACAAATCACTTCCATTCATGTAAACTCAATCTATAACAATGCAATGTCAGGTCAGCAACTCATCTGATAGACAGGTAACCTACGTTGCAGCTGTTCGGGCGCCATGACGCCAACGACCAACCTTTTTGTTCGTGACGCTACCCAAACAGATCCCAAAAAGCCTGTCGAAACAACAACCGGTCAAAATTGTAAGATCACAAAGCAACTTTCCGTGCAAAAACGCACGTAGCAATAACGACGCTCGCCACCTTTTTTCCTTCTCTTACACTCTCACAGCCGAAGTGACAAAGCACCACAACTGAGACAATTCGTCAGCTTCCATGCATTAATGATGCTTCGAACCACCGGAGTCATGCTGTGCTCATACCTTTTGCGGTTTTGCATCTGTTGAGGAGACTCTGCAGCGCAGCAGATCAACTTGGATGCCGTCTTTTGAGCTGTAAAGAACACTGCGTCACACTGCGACCATGACGTGCAGCCAGCCAGAAACTTACAACGTTTGAAGACGACGTGCAAAGCTGTCCCATCCCTTGCAAAATGAAAACAACCAACAACCAATTTCAGGACGGCAAGACTTGTGACAAAGGACAGCTTCACAAAACCATGCAATAAAACTTGGATTTTTGCGAAGACGTTGGATGAAGTAAACAAACCTGGGGCATTCCAACATGAACAAGTCAACTTAAACTTGCAGAACACACTTCGGCCTTGCAGCGGCGATGCAAGACCTTCGAAGAGTCTGAGCCTTGTTCTGAAAACACGCGCTCTCATTCCGCGCCAGCGGAACTTGGAGCTGAACAGCCTTGCAAGAAACACGCAGAAATCGTTTGAGGCACAAAAGAATTCAGTTTCTTTATCACCTGCAAGGATTCTCTATTTGCAAACATCTGGAAGTGTAGGTCGGCTCAAAGGCCTCCAGTCGGAAAACTGTGTGAGCGCACTGCAAGCATCAGCGCTATGGAGCCAACTACGGTTGAAAAGAGAGGCCAGTTGGACCTCGAGCGACTCTGCCAGTCTGATCCACGGCTGGAGTCGCTGCAACAACAACAACACTACTCAGTTCAGATAGGCTTGCACTGCTCT